CTGAGCAAAAACCTAACGTACAGAAGCAGAAAAGGCCACGACTGTGGGCCAGGATTTCATCAAGTTCAGCCAGAGCAGCAGAAGAAGTGGAGTTATAAAACACCTTTGTCTCAATGGACTTCACAGTTTTATGGTTAGAGTTCAGGGGAAGAGTGGAGCAATGCAGCGAGTTCACATTTGTTCAGATAAAAGAAGAGGAATGACAGGTTTATAAATCAAAGCCACGGCTCTGGGAAAAAACATGAAATGATTTCTCAAGTCGGTCTGAGAAATCAAATGTTTTGGATCTAGTTGTCGGGCAGAAGACGCTTAAAAATATCAAATATCAAAAACTATAATTATATTTCAACTGATTTTCAGAGAGCCAGCACATTAGCTGACCTCTGTGTCAGTGAAAATAAATTTAAAAAAAAAATCCGTTTGCAGTTAATAAGAAAAATGTGAAGCTACAATACAGCTGTAATTACTGTGCAATAAAAACAAACTTCACGCCTGTTTCCCATCAAAATATCCCTTCCCTTTACACATACAGCTTCCCTGACCACACCCTCCACACCTCAAACCTTTAACTGCTCCATACAAATTCAAAGAAAACTGTACATTTTTGTATCCTACACTCATGGCATGGAAATGAAAGGCACACCTGTGATGGTGAATTACTGCTGTACAATGAAGAATGATTAAAGGGAAAGGCCCAATCAAACCCCACACAGGGGTGTGACAGGACAGGGACGGTCCAGTGGACTGACAGGGTGAGTGGGTTGGAGGCGGAACCTGACATCATCGCATGTCATTAAAAGCAGATAAAACAAAAGGCTCGCCCAGTGAAACCTCGGCTTCTGCAGGACAACTTGGGCTGTAGTTTCTGTTTAACAGCTATCTCGGAAATAAAAGTGACATTTTATTCCTCTCTGAATAATTCAATTGATATTTTAGCCTACACAAAAGTTTAGAGTTTACAATGGGTCAGCCATACAAACTTGAAACAAAAGTCACATTCTTGTTTTCATGGTGTAATTAAAATGACCGGCAGGTGGACAGACAACGGTTTTTAACTTCTGCCACACATGATGACATGTTCATGTTCACTGTTGTTGACAATGCTGTAAATATCAAGAGGGGGGAAAAGGTTGCCGTTGAGGCCTTGGGCCATGTGGTGGAACGGTGGTTAGTGCTTTTGCCTTATAGAAAGAAGGTCACTTGCATGATCCTGGAGGTGAACTACTGTTTATTTTGTATGGCCTTTGCAGGATCTCCTTGTGTGAGTGCATGTTCTACCTGTGTTTGCATAGGTTTAATGACCTATAACAGCTGACTGAAGTTTTTACCCATCAACACTAAGCTGGAATCTGATCTTGGCTTCCTGGTTGAGATGAAACTCTACCTAACCAGCCACAGCCACCATGGAGTGATTTGATAGCATTGTTTGATTAAATTACTCAGTCAAAGTTATTTGGGTGGGTCAGTAAAGTAGACGACTACACCTTCCATAAAAGGTGGCTTCATTCTCCAGTGAAACCTCCTGAGAGAACCCCCCCCCCCCCGTTTTTTCAGAGAGTGCAGCGGAGGAGAAACACTGAGCAGAGCTGATCTGATGTTAACTAGCACCTCACGGTTACAAGACACTGCCGTGGCACAGAACAACTACTCTGGGAGTGTCACACACAGCTGTCAGTTGGTGACGAGACACTGAGTTAGATTAGTCAAACAACTCAGCCAAACCAGTCAGTCCTGTGTCGCCCACAGACGGAGTGGGTTGTGGATTTTTGAGCCTGTTTCACACTAGGGTGACGTGCCCCCGGACTTGGGTCCGGAAGGTTTAAGGTTCGAGTCCACCAGCTGTCAAGTTACCAATGAGGTGCTCTGAGCATTGCACCGTCCCCACACAGTGGAGTGGACTGGAACAGGATGAACATAAATGTTATCTTACAACTGGCAGGGCATGGCCACTGTTCTTAAAGACAAGAAGAAATGAACCTGTGTATAATTTATAAACGGTTTAAGAATGTTTATACAGGTCCAGTTCAAACGTAACTCCAGTTTTATATCATTTATATAGTAACAGGTTCCTGCTACACAACACTGTGTATCTGCCACAGCCGATCTCATGTGATCAGCTACTTTAACACGACAATACCGTGTGACAATAATCTGAATTAAAATCTGCTGACAGACAGCAGCACAGGCTCCTGCTCAGATAGAATCGGAAGCTGACGAGATACAGAACAGATAGTGAAGGGGAAGAGCACAGGACTGTCAATGGTGAAGAGAAAACACCCAAACTCTACTTCTGATTACAGTTATTTTCTCTGCCTTGGGCTTTTATTTTATTTTATTTTTTAAAAACTCAAAGTAAGAGAACCCACTGTGCTATTTTTTCACAAGTGAAAAGTGTGAATTCGAAGCTACCATAGTGTAGTTGACTTGCAGAGATAACATTGAAGAAATACAGTGGAACCTCGAGACACGAGCACGCTTACAGACACTCGTTCACTTCACGTGTTTGTCGACTTCCATACTATAATTCTTTTGTGTATGTATTTCTCTATAGCACTAGCAAACATGTTGTTTCCACTGTTATTAGCATTAATAAGGGAGTTTTTGTAGAGGGCCAGAACAGATTTTTTTTCTCTGTTATATCTTATGGTAATAATAATTCGAAACATGAGCTTGGTCCTGGAACGGATTATGCTCGTAACCTGAGGTTCCACCTCCAACCAACACAGATTTATTACCATATGTTGTAGGTTATTTTCTATTTACACATATATAAATTTGTGGTAAAAATAAAATGAATCTGTTTAAGTGAAATGGCTTCATATGACCTCTGAGATGTCACAGAGACGCTGTCAAAAATCTACATCCTGTCTTAGAGAATTATTGTTCTATAAATATAGTACTCATTTTAATGATGAGTAAGTCACACATTAAATTATTTACAAAGCATTTACTTCAAATGTATGTTTATTCTGTAGTTTCCCTGACCTCACTGCACCCCTCCTCCCCCACTAAGAACCACTGTCTGGAGGTGACAAGTTCACCAGACTGGCTGAAGTGGAGCGTGACGAGTTTACCAACACTCCTAAAAGTCACGAAATATTAAAATGTGCCCTGGCAGCCGTTAAACATGGAGGAAAGTAAACCTGAGTGCTGACTCACCCAGACCTGCGAGGACACACCTGTGATGGAGGGGTGAGGAGTGGCAGCTCCACCTGCTCATCCTCCTCCTCCTACTCCACAGAGGAGGCTATAAGAGCCTTCTTCTGCAGCGTCAGATCACCTGCTCCTCCGCAGCCAGCTCTTCGGTCTACACTCCTGCTCAGCACAGTTCCAGCACCGGGTCACCATGAACTCCGCAGGCTCCTACCGCACTGGATTTTCCTCCCTGTCCTCGTCCTCCACTCCACTCGTGACCAGCCTCAGACGTGGCAGCAGCGTCCACGGCGGCGCAGGTGGTCGCAACGTCCGGGTCTCGTACGCCACTAACGACTTCGGCTCCGGTGTTGACCTGACGTCGATGCTTGGAGGCGGAGGACGCGAAAGTTTCTCAATGACCGGCAGCGAGAAGTTCACCATGCAGAACCTCAACGACCGCTTGGCCTCTTATCTGGAGAAGGTGCGCACCCTGGAGTCCACCAATGCCAAGCTGGAGAAGCAGATCCGGGAGTGGTACGACAAGCAGACCCCGGTGGTCCCTGACTACAGCAAGTACCAGGCCATCATCGACGACCTGCGCAGAAAGGTGACCTTTTCACCTTCATACTCCTGAAATACAAAATAAATAACAGAGTGGTCAAGTAATTCTTTTGGAGATCAAACCTGGGCCAGGAAAAATATATAAAATATAGCAACAATTCGAACTTATAAATGAATGCGTAGTCCTGTAAAATTATTTAGTATATATAAATATATATATAGAACATTTTTATTGACCTACAATGCAGATCACAGAACTCCACTACAAATAATCATTAACATAAATAATAATAAATAACTCAGATACTGATGTAACAGCGCTGTGGTTCTACCACTTCTTTATCCATCAAATTTCTTGCTAGCTAGAGTTAGTACTTGGCTAATAAAAACATTTTCATCAACTGAATAAGAAAAGGTTTGATATCCACTGTTCTTATATTTTATCTGAGTGTATATTTACATTTTAGTCTTACATAGAGAATGGCTGCAGAGTTAACAACATTTCAATATATTAAAAAAGCCAACACTGACGGATGTGCTCATAGCCTCAAAACAAGTGTCTTGACGTCATGTTATGTCAACAAACAAACATTAATATAGAGGCGTGAAGGAGGCAGAGAACAGTACCAGTACAGAAGTTAGGCTAAAACGTACCAGAGGTCAGAGGTTAATGTTCTGTGTGTCTTCTCAGAGCAAGAATGCAAAACAATACATGAATACTAAAGACATTTAAACAAGTCATAAACCTATTTTATGCTTATTCGTTTTTATTCTGCTGTTTGACTTGCAGATGACAGTAAATGATTGATGAATATTCTAGTTGTTTTCGTGGAATCATGGCATTTCTGCAAGAGCAGAAAGTGAACTGTGAATATACAGATGAAGTGAAACCTTTTTTAGAACACGAGTAGTTTTATTCTAGCTCAATGACCTCTGTCTGAAGAAAAAAAAAAGGGTCCAAAAATTGGTTATATGTTTGTGTATGTATATAAGCTCAAAATATTGTTACAAATGCAATGCAACAGGAACAGGCTCCTCGTCAAACACCTGATTTACAAGTTTAACTAAACAGCACAATCTACATTTGCTTCCGACAGTTGATGTTTTTTTTTAAACACCATTTTCATCCCACCATCATTAGAAATGAAGTACTGTATATGGTAAGGAGTAGAAAGGCCTTCGTTGTGTTCAGGATGTTAGAGTATAGAATGTTCTACGACAGATGAGTGAACAAAGAAGCCTCCAGAAGGAGCCAGACCTAAAACCATGGAGTAGAATGACACGTTCACATTTATGACTTTGCGGTGGAGATAACAGTTTATGTAAACAAACGTCATGTTACCACCTAGTGGAGACTCTTAAGGTTCTCATCATCCCACAGTTGCACAAAATGGCTCCTCCTAGCTGGTAGCACAGAAACAACAGTTGGATTCAAAATCATCTTAAGGAACCGGCTTGTTCTTGGCTGTGAAACCTGTAACTATTGAATCATAGAAGGACAAATATATATGACACATTAGTATCTCAGGCAGATGATAGAGTCTACCAATACATATACATATGTAATACCCCTTGGCCATCATTTAGGCTAAATGTTATTTTTCAATTTTATTTTTTTACTCTTTATAAATATGTACCATTCTTTGCTATACTTTTATTATTTTTTAAATGATTAAGAAATCAGACTAGCTAGCCAGCTAATTTGTAGTTATTATTATTATTATTATTTAACCTTTTTCCCTCTTGTTCCTGCTATAAATGTTAGTTCTCATAACCACAGTTAAAAATACATTTCGTTATACAGAATGTTTTGGTCCGTCAGACCATTTAACTTTTTCATTGGCTGGTTTTGTCGTCACCATAGTGACCTGATGTGGAACAAGGGTCAAAATGATTTATGGTTGAACACAATGAAGGACAGCCGGTACAAGTGGTCTCAGGTCATAACAGATAATTAATGATGAGTAATAACGCACAGTTAGTGGACGATAAACACCAGTGGCTGCAGCACTTTTGCCTTATTGACCAATGAAATGGTGTTAGTGAGTGAATACGTTGCTTGTATGGTCTTTACAGATAAGTGCTGCCACGCTGGACAATGCCAGGATGATGTTACAGATTGACAACGCCAGACTGGCAGCAGAAGACTTCAGAATAAAGTGAGTTCAAATGTCATGTCACCAACAACTCTGTGCTCCATGTGTGGGCCACGAGACACCATCACCTGCTGCATCCGTCAGCTCAGGTGGATTGGACATGTTGTCACAGTGGGTGTGTAACTGTTCACACACAGAGGAAACAAGTGCAACAGGTTTTCAGCTACTCATTTTCCTGTTAGTTCTACGAACAATGATTCAGGAACCGTTCCACCAACCTCTCTGATGCCCTTCCATCTCCGCCACACAGGTTTGAAAATGAAATGGCCATGCGCATGTCAGTGGAGACTGACATTGCTGGATTACGCAAGGTCCTGGATGAGCTGACCCTGGCCCGGTCTGAGCTGGAGATGAAGATTGAAGGCTTGAAGGAAGAGCTGGTTTACCTAAAGAAGAACCACGAGGAGGTGAGTCGTTGATGACTTTCTACAGGAGGAAACAAAAGTAACATGACCCACTATTTTAGCCACAGTTCCTGGATCAGGGAGATTCAAGTCGTGTATTTACTCAGCTCTACTTAAAAAACATGTTGCCTCTTCCCTTTGTAAAACAAAAAGAAACACTGAGTTCCTTTCAAATGTCTGCTCACCTACAGGTTTTTGTAGCAAAACATGTGTTTTGGTCTCAGCAGTGTACCCAGCCTTCTGGCACTAAAGAGACTGAACCACTGGAACTGAGTTTGGAATAACTGGGAAATGTTTAGTTGTTAACACATTAATATATAATTGTCTTTAGATATTAAACATTAGCAAAACAGAAATAAAGAACAAATGTTTTGTTCCATCCCTCCAGCTTTACTAACTAGATCATCTGATCATGTTGTTTTCACAACATCTAAGGTAGTAATGTCTCCTCACCTCACGCTCCCTGTCGTTCTGGGCCTTAATTTCTGTTGAAGGCTCATTTATCCAAGACAGGAAATGCAGCAGTGAAACTAGATTAGATAAAATGTGTCACAATGGATAAATGAATGTTACAATTTGTTTCCATTTCTTTGGTGATAATGATGCTGCTGAGTGGCCATCATGTCTTTGTGCCTCTCATTTCTGACCATCTTATCATTTGTTCCGACAGGAGATGGCAGCATTGCGTAACCAAGTCAATTCCAGTTCTGTCAATGTGGAGGTGGATGCCAGTCCTCAGGAAGACATGTCAAGGATCTTGAATGGCATTAGAACTCAGTATGAGAACATTGCTGAGAAGAACCGCAAAGAAATGGAAGCCTGGTACAAGGTCAAGGTGAGGAGGGACACAGGGCGATGTCCCTACAGCCGTGGTTTTAATAATCACCGTCTTTTTTGGAACATTGAATGTCACTTTCAATGGTCAACAGTTTGACGAACTTAACAAGCAAGTTGCCACCAGCACGGAGAACCTCCAGAGCTACCGGAGTGAGATCAACGAGCTGAAGCGCACCCTGCAGTCACTGCAGATCGAGCTGCAGTCTCAGCTCAACCTGGTAACGATGACCCCACCACTGTTTTCAAACATTAATCACATATCAATGTGATGTATCGTACGGCCGAGAAGAATCAAAAAAGAACCCCACTCCACTTGTCTTCTTTTTTCCATCTCCAGAAATCAGCCATAGAAGGCACACTGGCAGAGACAGAGTCCCGCTACCAGCTGCAGCTCAACCAGCTCCAGGGCATCGTCAACACCATGGAGGAGGAGCTGAGCAGGGTCAGGGCCGACATCGCCCGGCAGTCCTCAGACTACCAGGTGCTGCTGGACATTAAGACGAGGCTGGAGATGGAGATCGCTGAGTATAGAAGGCTGCTGGATGGAGAGGATCTGAGGTAACGGTCTGGAAACGCTCTTTCTGATATGGATGTCGGTATGATTATAAAACCGTCTTCTTTTTTACCTTTTGTGTCTTCAGCAAATCCTTCGTCACCACTGTAGAAAAGACAGAGACCCAACGTATGTCCATGTTAACTTGGTATTTTAAAAGATGATTTCTGAACAAAATAAATGATAATTTTTATGATGAATCTTTCTGAAATGTTCAACAGCTCAAGTAGTGAAGAAGCAGAGGAGGACGTTGGTGATTGAGGAGATTGTCAACGGAAGAGTGGTGTCACGCTCAGAAGATGTGGAGATGCTCAAGTAGTAGACCAACTACATAGGAATGATCTGGATCAAAACATACCTTTTTAAAAGATAAATATCTATTAAATGAAAAGAATAAAATCTAATTTGTTGTGTTTACAAAATTGCAAAATCTGTACAAGTGTCTTTGCAGCATTACTCACTGTTTTAAGATTAAGATTTGAATTGATACTAATTGAAAATGACATTGTCATGCAATAAACCAATTTCTAATGACAATAGTACAGAAAAATTCAACTGTACTTCAGGGTGTGGTGACACCGTGGGCCGTCACATGATAATGCCTTTGCTGGAGATTTTGGTTTTATCAAACTAGGTTGTGGCCAAAGTTACAACATTAAAAAAAAAGAAAAACAGGAACATATATCATCGTGTTGTCAGTTCTGGAACTGTTAGAACCTAAAGTAATTTGACATAATCATTCCGTTCAGGATTGTTTACTCTCTGACCACTGGGTTAAATGCATGCACACAGGACAGTGACATGAGAGAGATGAAACCTCATTGTCATAGTCTGTCTTTTTACAGTTATGGAATGTTTGGGCTTTTTATTGCTGTAATGTTTGTTTTAGCTTTGCTACATCTGGTATTTGAATTTATTGCAGTTGATATGGAGAGGTTACCTTTCAATTAAATGTATCAAATCTTTGTTTAGTTTGTGAACTCTGCTGGTATTATTTCAAACAATAAAAGTGATGAGAATGAGGAAAGATTGGTTCTATCTGTAGGTTCTGTTGGTTTAAGGCAGTTTTTGGCTTTCTGTAGTAAATGTCCTACAATCTTTTGTAAACAACAACGAAAATAAAATAAAATTTAGAAAAACTTACATTTATAGAGCGTTTCCCTCACCTTATTTATCCTTGTCATTGACAGCAGCGCGGTCTAAAAGACAGAACACTGTTCTGTTTGTTACCAGAGTGGACAGAACCAGGAATTAGAAGATCCAAGAGTAAATCGTTTGTTCTCAAACTATACATGCGTGTCAATGTTAGTACTTGGGCTCCCTCTAGTGGTAGGCGGACGGAATCTTATTCTGAGAAGTTTTCAGTGAGTGACTTTCAGTTAAGTGGCGCTTTGGCCCAGAGGACTCACCACCCGCAGGAAGGTTTGGAGGGTTGGTAGGGTGCAGTGTGATAAAATCACATTAAGAACACATCTAGACAACAGAAGTTAAGGTGATAATACTCCCTTATCAATCACCTAAAACTGTACAGTATCATTTACTCGGCAAGTCAGCCAAGGAAGTAATTAATTTAACAGTTTATTATTTAAAATATTTAAAATGCGATTTTTTTGTTTGTTAACTTATTCCTCCTTTTGCCCTTCTCTCACTCTCTCTCTCATCTTCTCTCTCTTTTTCTCATATATATATACCTGTATATACAGATAATTTATTAATTTTGTTATTTCCTTTTGATAGCCTAAAGTCAATTACTCACGCAAACACGTGACGTCACGGGACTGGCTTACGCCTCGTTCTTGATAAACGCGGATGAAGGTGCAGGCCATTATTATTTGGACGTCGTTGATTTGAACTTATTCACCACCTTAGGAACTACAGGTAACTAGAAGACATTTTACTTGAAGTATCCGTGTCAGTACTTTTGTATTTACTGCCCTCCGTCTTATTCTTCTTATATATAGTGTTCACATTATGGAGGCCAGTTTTATTAGAAATGACGTCTAATCGAGCGTCGGGACAGACGTTTGTCTACCGTGAGACAAAATTAACGACACGAACTGCTCTAGGAAAAAACAAGCTGTGTGATATTTAGACGCTTATATTTATTTTCAGAAAAATGTACGTAAATTAAAACAGCAAAACTTAAGTTTCGTTTTTAGTGGTCTCTCGCGATGTTTTCTTTCTGCGTCGCAGACTCGCCATGGCGGGGCGAAGACCTGCGCTTTCAGAATCAGAGAAAATAAAATACTACTAACAAATCGCTTATCCTAAAGTGTAATATATTTACGTAAATTTATTTACTTATTTATTTGTATTGACAGGACAGGAGGCGACGGTCGGTTTTGGGTTCCGCGTGAGTTTGTGCTTTCTCCTTCACCGTACTTCGTAATTTAGGCTTTTGCTGCGGCATAAAAACAGCACAACGTTAGGTTCAAATATAATGAGTCCACTAGTAGTAATAGTTGTATTACTTACTTTAACAAGTTATGTGCCACAAATGACTATTCACGCCACCCTTCTCTGTTATGTGCCCGAAGTTGTTATTGTTATTTGGTTCCCTTCTTTTGCATGAGTCTAGCTTGCTGATGTCAACATTTTTACACTCAATATTTTTACGTTATCGTTACCCTGCTGCACAGTGGGCCTGTGCGCCGCAATATCGATACTGAGGTTAATGTTGACGTCCATGTTTGATTTGACTTACCTCAGGTCCTGAGAATCAGGTCAAATGAATCAAAATTAAAGAACTTTAGCTGGTGTACTTAAGCATTTAAAAATGGTATAGAATGGGTTGTTATATATACATATATATTATATTAATATTTAAATATATATGTTTATGGATCATGCAATCTTTGATGGGTAAAATAAATCTGATGAATCCTTTAAATAACTATGTAATAGTGAACTCCTAGAATAAAGAGTGACTTAAAAAGAAAATAACAGGTGTAAAATGAACACTTTCCTTTTTGAAGTTTCTAAAACACTATTGCACCCAATGTCAAAGATCCCAACTCACACATTCTAATATCTGTGTTGCAGCCTAGTCTCAGGTGTCGTCATGGCTGCAGTAGAAGACGCCAACATGGATCTGATGAATCTGGAGGAGGAGCTGACCTGCAGCATCTGTCTGAGCACCTTTGAATGCCCGGTAACAATCCCCTGTGGTCACAACTTCTGCCACAACTGTCTGTTCACTTCCTGGACCGACAGCTCCTTGACCTACAGCTGTCCTCAGTGTCGCACTGAGTTTCCCACCAAACCAGAGCTGAGGAAGAACACAGTTCTCTGCACCGTGGTGGAGACATTCAACCTGAAGTCTACTGGCAGCCAGCTGAACCTCTACGAAGAGGAGAGTAAAGAAGAAGTCCAGGAGGTGGAGGAGAAGGAAGAAGAGACCATCATCCGCTGCGACACCTGTATGTTAGCAGAGGCGTGTCGTACCTGTCTCACCTGTATGGCCTCGTTCTGTGAGGAGCACCTGCGCCCCCACAAGGAAAACCCAATTTTCCGTCCCCATCAGCTGACGGAGCCTGTTGGTGACCTCCTGGAGCGCATCTGTACAGACCACCACAAGCTGATGGAGCTTTTCTGCACCCAGCACAACACTCCTGTCTGCAGCTTCTGCCTGCAACAAAACCACAAAGGCTGCTCCTTCACTTCGCCCGAGGAGCAGAGGATGCTCAAGGAGGTCTGTCTATTTCTGAGAAATTTGGCAAATCTTGTGATTGTGTTCCCTTGTGGAATGTACGCATGTGTTTAGTGTGGTTATGTGATTTCTGCACTGTAAAATGTCTGCTTACAGTCCGACCTGAGAGCAAAGCTGGATTTGCTGGATGTAAAGATAATGAAAAACGAAGCTTGTATAAGTCAGATGACAGAGATCCAGGACACGCTGAAGGTAATGAAACCAACTGTAACTGCACTTTGTCTCTGTTCTAACAGCACAAGTAGGAAAATACTTTTATGATAACTCTGCCTTGTTGAACTCAGGAAGCAGCGGACAGCAAGAAGAACGCCCTGACAGCTGCATACGAGCAGCTACATGACATGTTGACCCAAGAGGAGAATGCTGCTCTGCAGGCTGTCGATGCAGAGATGCACAACGGTCAGATTAAACTTAAAACCCTCATGAAGAAGTTTTCTCAGAACGTTACCAACATGAATAAGGCCAAGAAGTCCATCCACAGTCTGCTCAGCCGGACCCAGACACTGGACTTCCTTCAGGTAAGGTCACAGAGACAAACGACAAATATATTACTGCTGATATGAAGGAAAATATTTAAAAAAAACAATAATGCACAAATTCTTTATATGAATTGTATAAATATTTTTTAGAAAACTGTGCTTTAGATTTTAAAGATGTGTGGATTCTTTCCTGACAGGTTTCATGTGAATTACCTGCCGCTGTCAAATTTGAACCCTACAGCCCTCGAATCAACCTGAACTCCAGCACAGTGATGGCCTACCAGGCCTTCCCTGCAGCTTTAAAGGAGTCTCTGACTGAGGTGTTCAAACAGCCTGTGGAGAGCAGACAGCTGCTGCTCAGACAAGGTGGACAGGGAGGAGGGGGTTAAGAATAATACTGACTACAGTCCAGGGTTGTCTCAATCCCATTATTTACAAACCCATATGAGTACAAGTACATTCATTTTTGGACTCGCCGATACAAAGTACCAATGCTGATGCCTCTTTAGCTTGGGTTTTAAGAACTTCATGACAAAATAAACAAGATTCCTTCTCTCGTAGGTCGGTCTGCAGAGCCTCAAGACAAGTCTGAACAGTCTCGACCTCCACACTCCCACAGCCCAGCTCCTGACGCACAGCCCAAAGCTGCAGGCACCAAGAAGAAGAAGCCACAGAGTGAGAAGAGTAAGTTTGAATGAGTTGGAGTCAAAGCAATGTCACATCAACGTTTGAAGTCTAGTAAACAGTTACAAGTAGCACACAGGAAGTCAGGTCCCATCACATGATACCATATAAACAAACAGGAAGAGGAGGAGACTGATTTCTCTGTCTTTCTTGTCATTAAATGTCATTAAAGCCCCATCTGGTGGTGGTCAAAGGGTAGTTTAAATGAGTGAAGGATAATAGCTGAGGACATGCAGTCAGTTCTCTTTCGTCTCTTTGAACAACCCTTTGTTCTTGTCCTTTGCAGAACCTGCAGACATTCCTCCAAATGTAACATCTGCTGAACAGAGGAGTCACCTCCTGAAGTGTACGTTCATGATTGAACCGCTTTACTGTCGCCAAACAAACGTCTTCTGATGACCGTTCTGCTCTGTCTTTTCAGATGGAACTGTGTTGACCTTTGACCCAAAAACGGTCCACAAACGCATCACACTGACTGAGCAGTTTACCAAAGCTACCGTGTCAGAGGAGATGGCAAACTACCCCAACTACATTCAGCGCTTCACTGTCTGCTCTCAGGTGCTTGCCTCAAAGGCTTTCTCTAAAGGGCGCCACTACTGGGAAATCCGGCTGAGCTGCAACAACTTCATTGGCCTAGGTCTGGCTCTTGGCAGCATTGATCGTAAAGGGCCCAACAGTCGCCTGGGCCGCAACGCCCAGTCCTGGTGTGTGGAGTGGTTCAATGTGAAACTGTCAGCCTGGCACAACAGCATGGAGGTGGTCCTGCAAAACCCCAGCCCGAAGCGCGTAGGTGTGCTGCTGGACTGTGATGCTGGAAAGGCCACCTTCTATAAGGTGGCTGAGATGGCGTATCCATTCTTCACCTTTGACATTCCCATCACCGAGGCAGTGTACCCAGCCTTCTGGCTTTTCTCAAGTAGTTCCTCCCTCTCTCTGTGCAAGCTGCAGCAATGAGAACATGTTCATTCAACACACACACACACACACACACTGGGTCACGTTACTGTATGACATGATGTAAAACATGCCAGTACAACTTTTTTGTAAAAGACTAATGAAACATGCCTTAATTCCAGGCTGATGACTTTTGTTCTTGATGAAATGGTAAAACATGACCCCACCTAAATGTCAGCACTGTTGCCTATGGTAACTGTACTTGTACTGGTGGATTCACCCACTCACTGGGTCAGAATCATTGATCAGGTCCACATGTCACTCAGAGCCTGACTTCAGTGTTTGTTGTGTTCAGGGAGTTAGCAGGTATATCCATGTGTTTGTATTATATTAATAACACCTCCGAGCTACAAATGAACTAATCAAATATACTGTTTACTTTGGGGTTCAGCTTCTCTGTGTGGAGTCAAAATTTGATTGACATGTGACATCACACCTGACTGAGGTTTTGGTGAATGTTGTTCAAATGTTTCTATTGGTGCCAGACTGGCTGGAACACCAACAGTTTGATCGTGTGTGTGTGAGACAGCGAAGCATTAATCTGCGATTCTGCTCAATCTTTCTGCTCAATCACATGTCGTTAACTAATTAAAAACAAAAAGCATGACTCTGCATTCTTTTTCCTAGGGCTGTAATCAACCAACAAGAAAGTCTTTTGGGGGGGGGGAGGGGAGGGGATGCACCGTGCCTGGTAGCCTTGTCTGCTTAAATAATTATAAACATAAAGACTAGTAGTTTATTTGCTTTCTACTGTCAGGTCTAGAATTCAACAACAACAACAGTCGCAACAAGAACAAGGGAAACTGACAGGAAGGGTTTATTTGACAGGTCAACACCAAACCAACAGGACAAATGTCTTTGACATATTGCCAGGTCACTGAAGCCATGACAGTGACCAGTGTGCACTGTGACCCCATGTGCACATCATCAATGTACAGGTAACATGCACAGGTCCAGATAAGGGTCTGGGTTGTGGAGCCTCTTGATTGTGCTGGGATCCACAGGCTGCAGCCTCACAGGCGACGGTTTGTTTCTCCTCAGCAGGACCGGCTTGGCGATGCAGGGAGACACTGTGATTTCTGGACAGAAGTGGACGCAAATGAGTCAGTACTACTGCGCTGTGACACAGTGACCTGTAAGAATCTTCATCTCTCTTTTCCGGAGACATTCAATACCGTCTGGCTGTGGAGCCTGAGGTCTGTTCTGTTCCATCTTTTGTTGTGAACATTTTATTACAAAAACAAGGTCAATCAAGGTAATCAAGACAGTGGTCCTGAAATTGTGGCCCACAGTCTTCATCTGGCCCGGAAGCTGCTGTAAAAGGTCCTAATGGACTCTAGTGGATTTTTATTTGATCCTTACTGTATGTTATTGTTTTTACAGACAGTACATGAGTGCTAACCACATGTTCACACTTCTACCTGCACACGTCTCAGATTTAGTGCCAGCTTGGCGGATCCATGGATGCTGCATGGCCTCCGCTGGTGTCATCCTCTTCAGTGGGTCGTACCTAAACACACCGATCCAGCCACAAACAGGACATTTTATACCAGAAAATTGAAATAAAAACTGCTTTTCTGGATTTTTAGGCTTAAACAAAGGTCTGTGAGCCCTAGGAGCTCCATGCAGATAGAGAAAAGTTTTTTTTAACAGTGAAATACGTGTGTACATGTTTAGACACTTACTCGAGGCAACGTTTGATAAAATTGACAAAGTAGTCGTTGGTTGAATTCAACCGTCTGGTCAGATTGGTCCTGTGACTTATGATGTGTTCAATCTTCAGAGGGATTCCTCCGTTATCTGCAATCAAATTTCACTTCAGGTTTAGATTTAATTTAAAAAAAAAAGTCACTACTTTATACGACAGACAATAAGTGATGCAAAAAAATAAAGGACAAAGTTTTTTTTTTCTCACCAAAGAACATGTTTTTCCTCGGAGCGTTGACCAGTTGGGCTGCAGGAGGGAGACCCAGCACCTGGTCCAGTCCACATCACATCAGTTAAACAGTCACATTATTTGGTTAGAACAACGACAGCAACATTTGACAGGATGATAATCACCTCCATGATACAGTCAAACTGGTGGACAAAGTTATGTCCCGCAAACAGACGGTGGCCCAGGTAGACCTCTGCTATGGTGCAGCCCAGGCTCCACATGTCGGCCGCTGGACCGCAGCTCTTTCCCAGCAGCACCTCTGGGGAGGCGTAGTTAACTGTGAACGTGATGGGTTTACCTGTGGACAAGGACCAGAACAGGACGTTCAAATGTTTAGTCGTAAAACCGACACGTCTCCAGTTTTATGACATCATGTGACCCACATCCATTTCTTGTTCACAGCCAGTGTTTATGGCCATATTTTCCTTTTTAAATATTTGCAGACAAAAACTCAAAAGTTACAAATCTTTCAGGTTAAACTCACTTGTCGTTTCCACAAAGTAACTCCCACCAAAGTCGCCGACGGCTGCGTGTTTTTCTTCATTCTTTTTGTAAAGTAAAATATTGACCTAGAAAAGAGCAGGCACAGAAGAACAGAAGAAATATTTATGTACATTTGCTTTATATTAACAAATGACCCATAAATATGGGACACAATGTTCTGTGTGTGGAATGGATGGGCATCGTGGAAAGTGAGAATTTGAATTATTTCAAAAAATATAACTGGACATTAAAAACTCAGTGGTTTCTTTTTTAAGCCAGGAAACAACTTCAGATTAAACTTCTTCAATCAGCTGGTTCCCACCGGTTTGAGGTCACTGTGGACGATGCCGTTGTTTTTAAGCAGCTGCAGACAGGTCAGCATGTCCATCGTGTATTTCCTCAGCTCCTCGTCACTGATCTTGTATTTGGAAGAGGATCTCAGGGCTTGACGAAGATCTTTTCTGGATAAAAAAACAAAAAAAGACGACAACCAGCTTTGACTAGCACTGTTAGCTCTGCAGGCCACACAGACAAGTCAAAGTTTATTTCTAAAGCACATGACAGTTGACCAATGTGCAAATGCAAAAAACACAAGCCCTTCATCGGCATTAAATCAATAATAAAAACCACAACAAGAAGAATCACACAGTACTTTTCTTCTTGTTAAAAATGTGACCCGTTGGCCTGAACTTACCCCAGGAGTTCAAAAGTGATGCAGAGGTGACTGCGGAAATAAAAGTTCTCCTTCATGTGGACGATGTTTGCCATTTTGTTGTGGTCCGACTTCCCCAGGGCCTTCAACATGTTGACCTCGGCCCTGCCCACCTGATGAATCCTGCAAACACGGCACGACAGACAGGACAGTGTGACAGCGACAGTTCATTGTTCAGGTGGTTCTGACCCACACACCAGCAAAACAACCTGTGAGTAAATGACCCTGCTCCAAACTGAGTCTGTTCTAAACAGTCCCAGACACCTGTCCACATCAGGCTGAAGCACTGATGGAGGATGAAGAAGATGACATGGTAAAAAGCTAGAAGACATTTAATCCATTCATGAGTTAGTTAGATCAGAGTAGGGGGCAAGTGCTGCCCCCTCAGGGCGCTCACAGTTATCACATGGGATGCACATTTGAAACCATAGCTATGAACTTGTCGATCTAAGGGTGCGCCACAATTTCATCTTCTTAAGGGGGCGCTGCAGCAACCGCCACTAGCTCATGTTGTACCTGTCACTGTTTCGAATGATCTTGACTGCCACGTGTTCTTTGGACTTGTGGTCCATGCATTTGAGGACCTGTCCAGAGGAGCCCTCTCCGAGCACCTTCAGTATTTGAAAGCGGTAGGCCAAGTGGTCGTTGATGAACTGAGGGTGAAAACACAAAGTTATTTACTTACTTATTTACTTAAAATCCTTCATTTATCCTGGAATCATCAGCACTCACTGCTCTGTAGTATCCTTCCTTGGTGTCGAAGCCGTACTTGGCCACCTGACCGTGAACCTTGACCAACTTCTCTCCCATGTACCACACCTGTCTGTAGTGCTTGATCTCGTCCAGCTCGTAATCTGTCAGAAACTGCCGGAGGTAATTCTGTCGGCCCTTGGAGACCGGGGGCAGATCAGCTTGCTGACCTTTGCTACTATAGAGTGGGCACTTGCTGATTGGTGGTAACGTAGTATTCTTACATGGGCTGGGCCCCCGCAGATACTCCTGTTGGCCCTTGGGGACAGTGGGCGGCAGAGCTCGTTGACTTCTGCTGGTATACTGTGGGGACTTGCTGATTGGTGGCAACAACAGATGCTTGGAGGGGCTGGACCTGGAGCCTGGAGCGTGCTCCTGACGGCCCTTACTGATGGGCGGAAGGACGGCTCTTTGACTTTTAGCACCGAGCTGCAGGTACGGCCAGACTGGAGGAAACATCGTATGTTTAGACTGGTTGGGTCTATGTGGGTTGTCCTGTCTGCCCTTGGCCACAGGTGGCAGCAGAGCCTGCTGGCTGTAGGTGTGAGTTACACTCAGGTCATCCCTGCCCGAGTAAGTCAACAACGCCAACATGGTGGATGTCAACTGGCGTAAAAACACAGCTGCCGACAAAACAAGTGTCCGCTGATACACATGAATGACCAGCCCAGGAAAAGAATGGACTCTAATGGAGGACATGTGCAGTTAGATGCCAACAAGCACATAGAAGGACTCTGATCCTTTGAAGTGAACAGCAGAGAGAATCTTTAAAAGTTGTTTCCTCTTTGATAAAGTCAAGAAAGAGCAGAAGGAGTCCAGCTGTAGGAGGAAGGAGACAAGGAAGTCACAGTCTCCTTGGTTTTTATTTATAAACCTTTTTTCTTATTATACTCACTGTGTGCTAAAGTCAGGTTTTCACAGACTTATGTAGCGCTCATCTTAAGTATAGCGCCCTCCTCCTGTCTTTAAGGAACTGTAACAGATATTAATCTAAAGCAGTATAAATTGGCAGAACAAACTGTTTTGTAAATAAAACACAGAGAGTCACCTGATTTAGATAAGAAAATATTTATGGATGTCATTAAAATTAAAAATATTCCTCAGTTACATTCAACCTCGATGACATGTTTTATTTGAGAAAGGATGATCAGTTCCTGATTGTTTCCAGATAAATCTTTGTCTCTGCCAGGAGCAGTTTTATTGACACGCTATAAAATTATCTTTTATACTTTCTGCACGTTCTTTTTACCATTTTTAACTGTTTCACAGAAAGTGATAAAACATCTTTTCTAAGGGTTTTAAGTGTAAACTTTAGTTCAGGGGATTTGTATATATATATAAATATATATATACATACACACACTCATATATATATACATACTGTATGTATATACAGATATGTATGATGTGATTTAGTGGCATCTAGTGGTGATAACAAAGACAATTATGGCCCATAGTGTCAACAAAACAATGTCTAAGACCAGTGTGATTGTCCAACATGAGCAGATCATGGCATCAGATTTGACATTATGGCTTTAAATACCCAGATCAAAATTCATTTCTCTCACTAAGACACACGTTCTTAGCCCACAGGATGATCAAGACGACCCATTACCATCCTAACAATCTCTGGTCTTTATCACCTTAACCTTCTCCTGAGGTTTTAGGCACTCCTGTGCTCAGACCACTTTTAAAAAAAGGTGGCCAAGATCTTATCTTAGACCCATCTGTGCAACAAACCTAAATAAGCTTAAAGTAAATTCAGTGCAACAACAGGAATAAAACAAACAGTCGTAAGAACGTCGGACACAACACACGGACAAACTGAGAACAACAGTGACGACAACAGGTGAACACACCAACTGTGAAACCTGGTTCCAGGTCAGAGTTCACTCCAGGTTCTCCAGATTGTGACGAAGCATTTCAGAGAATCTCTTGTTTTATGGCTGAGAGAACCAGGAATCCTGCTCTAAAACAGACTCACCTTATAAGGAAAACTAAACAAAAACAACAAACACCTGAACAGCAACCAACAGAGAAAGAGACTTTGAAGTCATCACCAGTCTGCCACCCACTGGTGACATGTCGCATAACACAACGCAATATACAGAAATATTGTGATCTCATAAAATATTTTGAAAAAGCATTATGACGTCCTCAGCAGTTCCTGTCTCTTCTTCACTCTCTTGTGTAAACTAACATCTATGCAGTGTAAGTTATTAATCAGTGCCAACAAAATACAGTATGCTGAAATAGGGAGAGGGTGTGTACGGAGGTGTAGTCACATGACAGCACGCTAAAAAATTAAATGTGGGTTCAAGTCTGACTGTCTGCAGTGGCTTCTAAAGAAAAGTTCATTTAGTTTCACAATGTAGAGCTGGGGTAGAAAAGTCATTTTTGGGGGGAGGAAAGACTTAATTTCTATACAATCCAGCAGAGGGCAATGTAGGGCTGCGTCTGTTTTAAAAACAAAGCAAAAAAACAGTCCTCTTAAAATCTACACCACGTGGTAAAAGACAGGACGCGGAGTTTTATGGAACCTCAAATACATCAGTCTTCAGCCCAGTGTTCCTCTTCAACTATTACTCTGTTATTCTACGTCCTCATCTGCCGGGGGAGTGGATCAACTGTTCAGGACAGAAATCAACTGAAGAAGCTGGTTAGGAGAGCCAGCTCAGTCCTGAACTGTCCCATGGAGACTCTGGAGGACGTGGGTGAGAGCCCAGCTAAAACCCATCATCAACCAACCCTCTCACCCTCTGTACAACACTGTGGGAGCGCTGAGCAGCTCTCTCAGCAGCAGGCTCCTGCAGCCACAGTACTGTCCAATCAGACATCAGACTGTTTAACCCAGAGGAACCACGGTGTCAAAGCTGTTAATAATTATTCATACAAATCAAGTTTTTCAATGTATTATTATTATTTTACCACCTACTATGTGTCTACTCTGCTGCTGCAACAACAGAATTTCCCTGGTGTTTGATCAATAAGGTCTTATCTTTTCGTAATGCAAGTGCTAATGAATAGGTGTCAACAACACCAGCTGGGTATTTATAAATAATTGCAAATTAATGCAATTTAAAAAATGGGGGTTTATCTGAATTTCAGGGGAAGAAAGGCCTTGACCTTGAGCTGACCTCAGGTCCTCCATCCAGATTTGAACACCTTCAGATAATTGTACTTAAATGTATGGTTGACAACAGTCAACGATAACAATAACAATGCAAAACGTGAGAAGTAAATTGTATGAAACTGTTTCTTTTTCCCACCACAGATTCTCTCAGTATCTCCGTGCCTCTTGGGCAGGTGTGGATGGAACTGAAAGTTTAAAAACAAAAATCTGCATCCAGACCTGCTCAAACCCAGTGAATGTCCCAGAACTGTCTCTAGTTCCAGAAGTCCAGTGTTTAAGAGCTGAATATGATGAGTCAGACTTTTGATTGACAGGTGAAGTGACTCAATAATGGTTAAGATCCTGCCTCCTAGTTTATTTTATGTGATGAAAGGTTAAAGACGAACCTGACCAACTGATGAACATGACAGCAGAAACTCTGTGCTGTTGGTGCTTTAGCAGCAGCTCAGTGTGACCCCACATGGCTGCACTGGACATCCCATCATACAGTAGAGATGAGTAACTGCAGCAGAGCTGACTACAGACTTCTATGGCACGAGGCATCAGTGCAAAGGAACGGCAGACTTTCTTTCCCCAGGACGTTCTTCTGTCCTTGAACAGGAAGTGTCAAATATTCTGCTCTACATTGAATGTGTACGTGCATCAAAACGTCAAACAAAAACAATCTCAAAACTGTGACCCCCTGTGAGAAGACGTGAAATAAAACACCTCATCAACGTGACGTGAAGACAGAGCAGAAGACTGCAGAGGAAAAAGCCTCAAAACACACAGAACCTCTGCTGGTGGGTGGGGGGGGGCAGGAGGAAGGGGTCAGGCCCGAGCGGATGACGCCCCCGGAGGTCTGGGTGAGTCGTGAGGGGTGGCGCTCTCCGTCTCTGAGGCGCTGCTGTCCTCGTCATCCGTCTGCTCCGCGCTGTGGTACAGCATCAGGACCTGGGTCTTGTGGGTGATGGTGATGGTGCAGGGACCCTGGGCCCACGGCTCCCCGTCCACCTGCATGGGCATCTTGGAGCTCTTCAGGAGCAGCTGCAGAGAGGAGAGAGTGACAGCAGGGTGTTAGTGTGTCAGCCAGGCTGCTGGAGTCAGTCGACAGGAACACGTCCGATACCAGACAGTCACAGCTGCAGTCACACTCTGGATGGTGGCACCAGTTTCACATTAACATAGTAAAAATCGTAAATATGTATCAGTTAACAAACTTTGACTGTGTGTGTGTGTGTGTGTGTGTGTGTGTGTGTGTTATAATCTCACCCTGACAGTGTGAGCTTGCCCCAGGCGGACAGGGTTTGCCAGCTTGACCTGGATCTGTGCGCAGTGGAAGGAGCCGTACACCCCCACCACCTCCAGCAGGCCGTCGTCCAGGCTGCAGACGGAGACAGGAAACAACACGTTGCTTGTTGTATTGCTGACACAGCGTTCACGGCTACAACCTAATACATCCTCACTGTACTTCAATATTTGAATATTTTTCATACATTACAATAATGAGCTGGTGTAAACAGGAAGAAAACAAAAACAATATCAAGGACAAAATGAAAGAGACACTGTAATGAACTACTGGTCATACAGAAGTACTGCAGAGACACACTAACTGAGAGGTGGTGGATGTTAGAAGTTCAGGCTCTGCTGCATTTCAGGAATTTGATTTATATTTCTGTTTTGGTTTATGGATTTACTATAATTTCCAGTGGAAATTTCTGAGACTGTGATCAAAGTGTTGGAATGAAACAAAATATGAACCTTTACCAAATTCACCAGCTCTTGGCTTAATGCTAATGTCAGTGATTAACTGGTTAAAAATAAGAAATAACTAGAGATTAATTCAAACAATGGACAGTTGTCTCACCGAGTTGGGGGGCACGGTTCATCCCCCACACCTTCCCAGAGTCTGCAGCCCCCACCCCAGTAACCGATGTTACAGACTATGATGCCCTCCAGACTGGGCAGCTCCACCCTCTCACCATCCAACTCCAACTGAGGGAACACACAAAGACACAAAGACACAAGACAATCGAAATTGAACTGCACTTAAATTTTAAACAACAGAAACAAATATGTTTTAATGCCCTAGTGTACCTATAATATAACTAAATATATTATACTAACTTTATGTAGTCATTTAATATTATTTTGACATTCCGTGGATCAGAACTAGACTAAAATGACTGTGTTACAACACCAGCTGAACTCAGCTCTTTACCTCAATCCTCTTGTCCAGATCCTTACATTCCTGCACTAAACAGTCTTTGGTGCCATACAGGAAGTAAACCACCTGAGGGGAGAAGACCAACAAATGAAAAGGTAAAACAATCCCAGAGTTCATTGCTGTGTTTGATATTCAAGTCCCGCCCATTATTCGCATAAAAGTGATGCGTTCAGAGGATGGGACTGGCACCTTGTTGATGATGCGGCTGGAGAAGAAGGAAGGCGTTTTCTCACGGTGGGCGTGGAAGTTTAGTGCCATCAGAGCGTCAGGCCCCACAGAGAAGTAGTTGTTCATGGACAGAACCTGGAAGAGCCGGGGGAGGGGGGAGGGGTGTGTGTGTGTGGGCACGTTAGTCCAACGCCATCACAACTTTAGTGCTCATCAAACAAACGTGACACGTCAGTACATAGAACTGTTCTAAAGGTATCTGACCCTCAACCTCGATGTTTTCATTTAAACCAGATGTCACTAAAAGGCGGGTGGCGGTCCAGACAAGGACCGGATTGAACCAGACATTGACGTGCAAAAGTCTGAGCCAATCAAACGGGAGCACGACAACATTAACACAGTCATTGGTTTGGACTGTGGTGGGTTTTAGTAAAGAAAAACCCACCTGTCATTCTGTAGATATTAGCTTCTGTTGTCAACACCACTTCAGGTGTGACCTCATTCTCCTGTGGAAACCAACTTGTGATTTCGTGTTTTTTTACTAAACATGAAACACAAAGCACACATGAACATATGTGACCAAAACAGAGGGAAATTAAAAGATCTAGAGTACGTGTCTAACTCAAGGCCCGGGGGCCAAATGTGGCCCGCCAATTCATTTAGTGTGGGCCGCAGGAGGATGAAAAGTGTGTCCTAACTTGAATAAATAATAATCAATTGCAGAAACCTTTATTAATATGTTATGGAGTAGTTAAATTACAACCAGCCCTTCCACATATTGCTGATCACCCCCCCCCCCTCCCCCCACAGTGTAAATGAGGTTGACACCCCTGCTCTAGAGCGTCAGTGAACTCACCTTTGGTTTCCGAAAAAGGGCTCCTTTTGAAGCCACCTGCACTTTCCACCTAAAAGTGATAACACACACACACACACAACCAGGTAACATTTCTAACATTTCCATAAGATTAGTTTTCTGATAAATGTGATGTTTATCAGACAAAGAATCAACTTTTGAGTTGATTAGCACCGATCTAAAAACCACCGTCAGGCTTTAGTTAACAATTCACTGATGACCAGTTTTGCTACTTTACCAACACACTTCACTGTCTGTCTGTGCTAAGAACAGTGAGTCACTATTGTGAATCTTTGTTTACATTCACTAATGGGCAACTGTACCAGGACTGCAAACCTTATTTTTGTTACACTGTACAGCGCAGTGTGAAGAAGAACAAAAGTCAACAACATGATACTGGCATACATTCACACTTTTACCAAAGTTTTAAGCCACTATACTGCCCCCACCTGTCCATTTTGACCACCTCAGCGTCCAGAATGTTCCGGAGAACCTGTTCCACAGGGATCTCCCCGGCGTATCCAGCTCCCCAGCCCAGAGTGTTGGACAGGTCATTTCCTGTTCCCAGTGGTAGGATAGTCACCCAGGGGACGAACTGGTCCTGGTCCTGACATGTGGAAAGGACAAAGACCAGCAGCTGAGTTTTCATTAGTGAGCAGAGAAGTGAGGCGTTGATGTGGCAGGAATATACGCTGTATCCACATCATTCACAGTGGTTCCAAAACTTGTAGAGTTCCACGTGGACTCAAACAAATCCAACCCACCTGGAGAATGAACCCTTTTGTTACTGTTGTTGACAGAGACAATTTGAGCGTTCTTGAAAAGAATGTTTTTTTGTCTTTCATTCAGAGACAGGCAGCAGTGCAGTACAACAGCAGTGTGTTCACAGATCTGTGGATCTGTCCACCCAGGAATGTAGAGGTGACGGTTCCTTGGGATTATAATCACTAGTCACATGATCAGATTTTTCCAGTATTTCTTTTTGCAACTATATATTAATTAATAGTACATTATATTTTCTGTTCAAATATACCTTGGACAATATGAAACTGTCATGTCCTGACCTTTGACCTGTGTGCTTTTATATATTACATCAGACAGACTTCTTTGTCTTCTTCTCCACTGACAACAGGAAACTTCTCATCTCACCTTTAGCTTCATGGTGTCTATGGCATCCAGCACCCATCCTACAGTGCCATCACCGCCACACACCAGCACCCTGACACTGCCAGGGGGCAGTAGTGTGCAAAGCTGCAGGGCTTTGGCAGGAGTCAGTTCTGACAGGTCGAACACCTGCAGAGAAGAGCAGAAGAACCGACCATTTTAATGTCCGCCTCCTGATGGAACATAACTGATGGCTTGTGGAGCCACAGACTGACCTGGACTGGGTTGAGCAGGGTACGAAATTCCCCCAGCAGAGCCTCCCCCATGTTGTTGCCGCTACGGGTGTTGGCCAGGACCAACACTGGAGTCCAACTCCTGCTGCAGGAAGACGCCAGCTACAGACACACAACAGTATGACCTTTAACCTCACTGCTACTGTCACTGCAGGGACTTTTACACCTACACCGTGGCTGCCACGTGTCCTCCACCTTGATGAACTCTTCTGGGTTCCGGCGGCGAAGTTTGTTGACACGGTAGAGGTACTGCGGAGGGATGATGAGGCTGCGGAACTCGCCCAGGTCACACAGGTCTTCATCTGTCAGGCTGTCCATACAGTCGTCATGAACTGTGGTCTGACACCAAACACACCTAGGAGGGGAACAGGGGAACAGGGGAACAGGTGTACAATAGTGTCACAGGATTAACAGATTAATTATTTTGGAAGTCACGATTTTGTCTGCAGTTCAACTGAGCAGAACAGATTAGAGACATTAGGGCCATCAAAGTGAATACTTTTACTGTGGTTGTGGCTGATATACTCAGGAATTAAAGAAACAAATAAATAAAAACTTCAACAGCTCTGTGTCTCTCCTTTTTTATTTCCTTTCCCAGCCATCTGCTGCCACCTTGTGGAATATTATTTAATTGTTTGTCTCAATGCTAAACTATGTAAAATTATATAATTTTCTAAGGTACACATCAGAAATCACACTTAACAGAAAAAAAATTGTTTTCACCAAAACATGCCTTCATGGTCTGCTACTCTAATATATTTGAAATGTCGGAATGTTGATTTAATCTCGATTAATCAGGAATTATAACCCGATGGCTGCAGAATTTTCTCCAGCTTCCACGTGACCCCGAAAGGAATTAAAATGGAGCAGAAAAAATGAATACACACTAAGAACATCACACAGAGAGAGAGTGTGTCCAAGCTGGGTCACGTACTAGTGAAATTCTTCCTGGGAGGAAAAATGCAAAGCATGTGGCTACCTTGAAACACAACATTTGTTTTATTTTCCTTAAACTACTTAATACTACTTTGCTGCACTTCAAACCAACTCTGAAAATGTGCCTCAAACACCACAGCAAACATATTTTGCTAACCTGAAATCACAGAGTTTGGGCTGCGTTCCACACTGTTGTTTACACACTGTGCAGTAACTGGCCAGGGGCACGTTTCCTCGCACCCAGCGGTGCTCCACGGCTCCGTCGGGCCTCCACGGAGCCATGATCTCTTTGCAGGGTAGATAGCGGTCTGCCCGGGGGAGGCACTCTTCGTCGGCACATACGCCGCAGCAATCGCAGAAGGCTCCGTTCAGGATGTGCTGTGAGCAGACGCAGCAGTAGGTGGGTTTGTTGAACAGGTCCGTGTACTGCCAGCAGTGCTTGCTTTTGCGAAAGAAACCCTTTATATGCGTCTTCCGTTTAGAGCGCTGGGAGCTGCACCACAGCGTGATGAGCACCGGGACGATGACGGCCACAGAGGTCCACAGAAGCAGCGTCCACTCCTCCCGGGAGCCGCGGTCGTCGTCTGTGCGGAGCTCACTCTCCTCCTGGAACATCACTGCTGCCGAACACAGATGCTAATGAGCCGAAGTGCGAGAGAAGGAGCGGATAGCTGTCAACAAACTCCAATGTTTTGCCCCGACGCTCATGTCCTTACGCGCGGACAGTGCGCCGACTCTGGCTTTAAACAAAATTGCAACATTTCTAAAGAAAATGACAGGAGACGGTGGTTCGACACAGACGTGTGGAGCTAAATCCGCTAACTCTACCTTCAGAGAGTGTTTATATGCCAAGATGACTCCCTGACAGCCATTGTTGATATTACATGTTCAGTTAAATGTAAAGTTTCCAACCAGCAGCCTAAACCCATTTGTATCTTCATGATCCCTAGACACCAATTCTAATTCCCACGTGCTTCGGGGGAATATTTTTCCATATGAACGGTGTATATTATAGCCCCAAAACTATTTACTTTTAGAACAAGCGACAGTATTTTCGTATGCACCATCCTGAATCAAGCGCAGGATCTGTTAACTATTGCGGTAAAACTTCATCATGAAATTATAATAATAACAACAATTGTACTTCTTATTTAAAAAAAACAATCTCTTCTAAAATGTGACCTGATAAAAAAGCTAACAATGAAACCACAAGCGGACAACGTCTAGCTGTCAAAGAAGGAAGACAACTGAAAGTAGTTGCAGTTTAAAGCGAACCCGGAAGTAGGTAACATTTATGCTCTGCAATTTTCAATGTCTTCATATATGGGCCAAAGAGCGTGACGTTAGGTCTGCAGCGCGCATGCGCAGCCGTGATGCACATCAGTCGGTGATCACGACCTCACACGTCATTACTCACAGGACACTGAGCTGTATCCGTCCTAAAAACGAAGATGGAAGACGTGGAAGAGAATATAAACGAGTCAGTACCATGTAAAGGATGACGCACAATGACGTTTTAACTCAGGGCGCACATCTGGACGAAGCCGTTGTTATTGAGTTTAGTAGGAATTATAATTTTGCTAAACAGGGGTAATGTTACAGCTTTAAACCTGGCTTAAGTAAACGGAGTCTGTGTACCTGTCTGACTCGTTCATTGAGCAGCTGGTATACTCATTAGCTGAGAATGAACCATGCTGTAAGGAAACAGCATTAACCACACCACCTTGTAGCGCCATATAATATATTTGGTTACTGATTAAATGCATGAAGCACTTTAGCACAAATGGTTCAATTCTTACAATATATGGTCACTATTACACACTATATAATTTTATTTGTTTTTTTTAATTTTATTTTAGTTGCTCATGATCTACCAGCACTCCCTCTGCGATCTACTGGTAGATCTAGATCTACTCATTGGGCATCCCTTCATTAGAGGGATAATAATAATAATAATAATAATAATACATTTTATTTCATAGGCGCCTTTCTGTCACCCAAGGACACCTTACAGTGAATACAAAGATAACAACACAGCATTAAAAAACAATAAAACATAAAACATTAAGAACAAGTTAAAATACAGCAGTGAAATATGACTAACAAATTAGTTAACGTTCGAATTAAGTTGTAATTATTAAGTGTATTACAAACCATTAACAATAGCTCACAGTTAAAGTACAATTCAAAACCTTCTCCTCAGCCGTCACAAATATACACGACGACCGTGCTTACATTGCCATCTAGTGGACAATGTGTTCGTAAAGATTATAATGAAATAAAGGCCGGACCCATGCGTTAAATGTTTAATTAATAAATATTGATGTTATTGTAATGCAATATGGTTTTTATTCCTTTGGTGTGTTTTAACGTCTGTGTTGTTAGTTCTTAAATAAGAACGAACATCTTTTAAACACTTAGTGATAATAAATGATTTCAATCAATATTCTTTATAGTCCATGTAGTTTTCCAGCAGTGAAGGTAAACATACTAATAAGTTCAGCTAAAGTGTCATTGATTAGCCTCGATAGTTTTAGTTTTTCCTCAGCAACGCCTGCAGGTATGTGACAGGAATTTGTGGGAGATATGCAGGAGGTGGAGAAGAAGGAGGAGGAGGAGACTGTTCCCCCTTCACCTCCTCTGGACTTTGGTGAGAGCCTCACAGCAAACTCAAACCAGAGGAGAATAAACAAGGGCAGAAGATGAAGCAGCTGCTGGTGTTGGTGTTCTGTCTGGTCCTGCTGACCATCCACACAGGTAAAGAATCTCCACCCAACTCCGACTCTGACTCTGACCACATCAGTGCATTTTAACCATGTGATTTCCACCGTCCTCCTCTACTCACTGGACCTCAGTTATGCAGCTCACTCAGCACTAAATAGTTTAATTATTGTTGTTTCTCTAGTCCATGGAGTATATGATATAAAGTCTGTCACAGTCCTCCAGAACCTGCAGACGGATTAATGTTGTTGAGGACAGTGACGTCACTGAAGTTTAGAAAGAAACTCTCCAC